GAAAAACCCCCAAGAAGTCTCTGAAGAATGTCATTTTATTAGACCTGAAAGTATGTTTGACAGATGGAAGGAATTTAGCCGAGACTATTTTTCAAGAGCATAGTGCCATTATAGTTTAAATAAAAGAGCACAGGTGTTTTCATCACTAATCATCTTAATTCATTTAAAACTTTTACAAAAATGAAAACTGCCTTTCTAAAGTTGTGTTGATAGATATTCAGCTCTGTGAATAATTATCAGAGGTAAAAGACCTCTTGCAAGCAGAAAACCTTGGAAGCCTAAAGTCAAATACTCATGTTGAGTTTATTTTAAAATTAAAAAAAAAATTTATTTATTTATTTATTTTTACAGGCAGAGTGGACAGTGAGAGAGAGAGAGACAGAGAGAAAGCTCTTCCTTTTGCCGTTGGTTCACCCTCCAATGGCCGCTGCGGCTGGCGCACTGCAGCCAGCACACCACGCTGATCTGATGGCAGGAGCCAGGTGCTTCCTCCTGGTCTCCCATGGGGTGCAGGGCCCAAGCACTTGGGCCATCCTCCACTGCACTCCCTGGCCACAGCAGAGAGCTGGCCTGGAAGAGGGGCAACTGGGACAGAATCCGGCGCCCCAACCGGGACTAGAACCTGGTGTGCCAGCACCAAAAGGCGGAGGATTAGCCTAGTGAGCCGCAGCGCCGGCCCATGTTGAGTTTATTTTGAAAGCAAATTGTTAATATTATGTCCAGGGACAAGCATAATTTTTTCTAAAACTGGTCATAAGTGCATAACATAAAAGTTTCAGGCCTTTAGCAACTAGATGTTTTTAAAATTTTATAAAATGTATGGCTGAATTTTTTATACTTTATTTAAAAGCTAACATAAAATTGTTATATAACTATAATTTTTGTTTTTAATTACATGATCATTTCTTTCCTCGTTTTCACCATAAAGTTATCAGTTGTTGTTTCTGTATTTAATACCCTTTCTTTTTTTTCTATTAAATTTTCTGAAAACATTTTTTTGAATATTTTTAAAACTATATTTATTTTTTTAACTTTTATTTAGTAAATATAAATTTCCAAAGTACATTTTATGGATTACAATGGCTTTTCCCCCCCATAACTTCCCTCCCACCTGCACCCTCCCATCTCCCGCTCCCTCTCCCCTTCCATTCACATCAAGATTCATTTTCAATTCTCTTTATATACAGAAGATCATTTTAGTATCTATTAAGTAAATATTTCATCAGTTTGCATCAACACAGAAAGTAAAGTGTAAAATACTGTTCCAGTACTAGTTGTAGCATTAATTCACATTGAACAACACATTAAGGACAGAGATCCTACATGAGGAGTTGACTTAACAATTTGACACTCTTGTTTATTGTTTATGGCATCAGTAATCTCCCTAGGCTCTAGTCATGAGTTGCCAAGGCTATGGAAGCCTTTTGAGTTTGCCGACTTCAATCTTATTTAGACAAGGTCACAGTCAAAGTGGAAGTTCTCTCCTCCCTTCACAGAAAAGTACCTCCTTCTTTGATAGCCCGTTCTTTCTACTGGGAACTCATTTGCAGAGATTTTGCATTTAGGGTTTTTTTTTGGGGGGGGGGGGTTGTGGTTGTTGTTTTTCCAGAGTTTCTTGGCTTTCCATGCCTAAAATATTCTCATGGGCTCTTCAGCCAGATCCGAATGCCTTAAGGGCTGATTCTGAGGCCAGAGTGCTGTTTAGGACATCTGCCATTCTATGAGTCTGCTATGTATCCCGCTTCCCATGTTGGATAGTTCTCTCCCTTTTTTATTCTGTCAGTTAGTATTAGCAGACACTAGTCTTGTTTATGTGATCCCTTTGACTCTTAGACCTATCAGTATGATCAACTGTGAACTGAAATTGATCACTTGGATTAGTGAGATGGCATTGGTACATGCCACCTTGATGGGATTGTATTGGAATCCCCTGGCACATTTCAAACTCCACCATTTGGGGCTAGTCCGATTGAGCATGTCCCAAATTGTACATCTCTCATTCCCACTCTTATATTTAACAGGCATCTCTTTTCAGTTAAATTTAAACACCTAAGAAAATTGTGTATTAATTACAGAGTTCAACCAATCATATTAAGTAGAACAAAAAAAATACTGAAAGGGATAAAGTATTACATTGTACATCAACAGTTGGGACAAGGGCTGATCAAGTCACTGTTTCCTCATAGTGTCCATTTCACTTCAATAGGTTTCCTTTTTGGTGCTCAGTTAGTTGTCACTGATCAGGGAGAACATATGATATTTGTCCCTTTAGGACTGGCTTAATTCACTCAGCATGATGTTTTCCAGATTCTTCCATTTTGTTGCAAATGACCAGATTTCATTTTTTCTTTTATTTAATAAATATAGATTTCATAGGTAGAGCTTTTTGGAATATAGTGGTTCTTCCCCCCATTCCCACAAACCATCCCCAAACCATCCCACCTCCTACTCTCTCTCTTATCCCATTCTTCATTAACATTCATTTTTAATTATCTTTATATACAGAAGATCAACTCTGTACTAAGTAAAAATTTCAATAGTTTGCACTCACACTGACACACAAAGTATAAAGTATTGTTTGAACACAAGTTGCACCATTAATTCTTATAGTACAGCTCATTAAGGATGGAGGTACTACACGTGGAGCAATTGCACAGTGACTCCTGTTGTTGATTTAACAATTGACACTCTTATTTATCATGTCAGTGACCACCTGAGGCTTTTGTCATGAGCTGCGAAGGCTGAGGAAGCCTTTTGAGTCCAGAAATTCTGTCAGTATTTAGATAGGGTCATAAGCAAAGTTGAAGTTCTCTCTTCCCTTCAGAGAAAAGTACATCCTTTTTTGATGGCCCCTTCTTTCCACTGGGATCTCACTCACTCACAGAGATCATTCATGTAGATAATTTTTTTTGCCACAGAGTCTTGGCTTTTCATTCTGAAGTGCTCTCATGGGCTTTTCAGCCAGATCTGAATGCTTGAAGGACTGATTCTGAGGTCAGGGTTATATTTAGCACATTTGTCATTCTAAGGCCTACTTCCCATGTTGGATAATTCTCTACCTTTTAATTCTATCTATTGTTATTACCACACACTTGGTCTTATTTATGTGATCCCTTTGACACTTAATCCTATCTATATGATTGGTTACACACTTAACATGATCACTTTAACATGTAAAATGGCATTAGTACCTGCCAACTTAATGGAATTTGGATTCCCATGGCAAATATTTAGCTTTACCCTTAGATGAAAGTCCATGGGAACATGTGCCAAACTGTATATCTCCTCCCCCTCTTATTCTCACTCTTATTTTTACAGGGATCAATTTTTAATTGCATTCAAGCACCTAAGAATAATTTAATTTAATTCTGTGTTAAGTAAAGAGTTCAACCAATGGGTTTAAGTAGAAAAAGGAAATAGTAAAAAGAATAAAATAGTAAGTTTTTCCTCAACAGTCAGGACGTGGGATGATCAAGTCATTGCTTCTCATAGTGTCAGTTTCATTTCTACAGGCTTCCTTTTAAGTGTTCAGTTAGTTGTCACAGATCTCGGGGAACATATGATATTTTTCCATTTGGGCTGGCTTATTACACTCAGCATGATGATTTCCAGGTTCATCCACTTTGTTGCAAATGACAAGATTTCATTTTTTACCACTGGGTAGTATTCCATAGAGTACATATTCTATAATTTCTTTATCCAATCTTTCATTGACAGGAATTTAGGTTGGTTCCATGTCTTAGCTAATGTAAATTGAGCTGCAATAAACATGGAGGTACAGATAGATAGCTCTTCTATTTTCCAATTTAATTTCCCTTAGGTAAATTCTGAGGAGTGGGATGGCTGGGTTGTATGGTAGGGTTATATTCAGATTTCTGAGGTATCTCCATAATGTCTTATATAGTAGCTTTACTAGTTTACATTCTCAACAGTGGGTTAGTGTGCCTTTTTCCCCATTTCCTCACCAGCGTTTGTTGTTAGTTGATTTCTGTATGAATGCCATTCTAACCAGGGTGAGGTGAAGCCTCAATGTGGTTTTGATTTGCATTTCCCTGATGGCTAGTGATCCTGAGCATTTTTTCATGTGTCTTTTGGCCATTTGGATTTCCTCTTTTGAAAAATGTCTATTGAGGTCCTTGGCCCATCTCTTAAGTGGGTTGCTTGTCTTGTTGTTGTGGAGTTTCTTGATCTCTTCATAGATTCTGGTTCTTAATCCTTTATCAATTGCATACTTTGCAAAGAATTTCTTTCTTCTGTTGGTTGCCTCTTCACTTTCCTGTTTTTTTGTTTGTTTGTTTTTTGCTGTTCAGAAACTTCTCAATTTGATGTAATCCAAATTGTTAATTTTGGCTTTGTCTGCCTGTGCCTGTGTGGATTTTTCCAAGAAGTCTTTGCCTGTGCCAATATCTTGCAGGGTTTCTCCAATGTTCTCTAATAATTTGATGATGTCAGGTCACAGATCTTTAATCCGTGTTGAGTGGATTTTTGTGTAGGTGTAAGATGGGGATCTTGCTTCATACTTCTGCATGTGGAAATCCAGTCTTCTCAGCAGCATTTGTTGAATACTGTCCTTGCTCTAGGAATTAGTTTTAGCTCTGTGATCAGCTATAAGTTGGTTGCAGATGTTTGGATTGATTTCTTGTGTTTCTATTCTGTCCATTTGCCTATCCATATGTTTTTGTAACAGTACCAGGTTGCTTTGATTATAACTGCCTTGTAGTATGTCTTGAAATCTGATTTTGTGGTGCCTCCAGATCTGTTTTTGTTGTATAAGAATTCTCTAGCTATTCAAGATCTCCTGTACCTCCATATGAATTTCAGCACCATTTTTTCTAGATCTGAGAAGAAAGTCTTTGGTATTTTGATTGGTATTGCATTGAACCTGTAAATTGCTTTAGGAAGAATGGACATTTTGATGATATTGATTCTTTCAATCCATGAACATGGAAGATTTTTCCATTTTTTTGGTATCTTCTATTTCTTTCTTTAAGATTTTGTAATTCTCGGCCAAGGAGGAGCCCAAGAGGAGGTCGGCGCACTTGTCGGCGAAGCCGGCCCCCGCGAAGGTGGAAGCGAAGCCCAAGAAGGCCGCCGGGAAGGATAAGTCATCAGACAAGAAAGTGCAAGCAAAGGGGAAGAGAGGAGCAAAGGGAAAACAGGCCGAGGTGGCTAACCAAGAAGCTAAAGAAGACCTGCCTGCAGAAAACGGAGAAACGAAAAACGAGGAGAGTCCAGCCTCTGATGAAGCAGACGAGAAAGAAGCCAAGTCCGATTAATACCATACACCATGTGTTATCAGTGGTCCCTGTCTCCCTTCTTGTACAATCCAGAGGAATATTTTTATCAACTATTTTGTAAATGCAAGTTTTTTAGTAGCTCTAGAAACATTTTTAAGAAGGAGGGAAGCCCGCCTCATCCCATTTTTTAAGTGTAAATGATTTTTTTAAGAGGTGAAATCATTTGCTGGTTATTTATTTTTTGGTACAACCAGAAAATAGTGGCATATTGAATTCTGGAAGGCTTTGACTGTCTTGGGTGTCAGCTTAACATTCCATAGGTGGGGGTGGTTTTTATATCCTACAGTACAACGCATACTAAATGGCAATTTGAAGTCTCAATTGTGCATTTAATCCGTCTTGAATATTTTCAGTTACTTCTCCCATGTTTTGTAGAATAGTTTCCTACAGAAAACCACTCCTTGTTCTGTCAGAACCATGTGCACTCTGTAACATCTTCGGTTGTGGTAGTCCAGTTTTCCTAATGATTTTGTTAATGTGCCGTGAAAGATTGAAAATTTGAGTGTCGTGTATATGCTATTATATTGTGAGTGGGTGGGATTTATGTAACAGCAACATTTGAAGATACTTGTACTTGATAGCCTCTTAAGGAAGAGTTGCCTCCAAATTTGAAGCTGGAAAGTCACTGGAATAACTTTTAGAAAAAGAATGACAATTCATGGCTTTTTAGATTTTTGGTACGTATGTTAAGAATTGTGTACAAATTAAAATGTGTGTGCTGATTCTCAACACCAATAAAATCTCAATTATGGACAAAAAAAGATTTTGTAATTCTCATCATAGAGATCTTTGACGTCCTTTCATTCTAAGGTATGTGATTTTCTTTTGTAGCTATTGTGAATGGGATTGATCTTAGAAGTTCTTTCTCAGCCATGGCATTCTCTGTGTTTCCAAGGTTGTTGATTTTTGTGCATTGATTTTCTGTCCTGCCTCTTTGCCAAACTCTTCTATGAGTTCCAATAGTCTCTCAGTGGAGTTCTTTGGACCCTTTATATAAAGAATCCCTTCTCATGCAAATAGGGATAATTTGACTTCTTCTTACTCAATTCATATCCGTTTGTTTTATTTTCTTGCCTAATTGTTCTGACTAAAAGTTCTAGTACTATAATGAATAGCAATGGTGATAGTGGGCAAAGCTGTCTGGTACCTGATCCCAGTGAGAATGCTTCCAACCGTTTCCCATTCAATTGGATGTTGGCAATGTGTTGCCTAAATTGCCTTGAAAGTGTTAAGTAATGTTTTTATTTCTGTGGTGTCTTTTGTTACATTCTCTTTTTCATCTCTAATGTTTCTGATTTGGGTATTCTCCTTTTTTTTTTTTTGATTAGTTGGGCCAATGGGATGCCACTTTTTTTATTTTTTCAAAAAACCAGCTCTTTGTTTTGCTGATTTTTGTTTTGATTTTTGTATTCAGTTTTGTTGATTTCTTCTCTAATTTTAATTATTTCTTTTCTCCTATGATTTTTGGGTTTGATTTGCTATAGTTTTTCTAGATCCTTGAGATGCATTGATAGCTCATATAGATCTTGGCTGGGCTTAGGAACCATGGATGTTGCTGTTGTTGAATTCGACAGGCAGAGAAAGAGAGGAATGGTGGAGGAGAGGGAAGGCTCCCAGCCACAGCTTCACTCCTTAAATGCCTGAAAAAGCTGGGGGTGGGGCTGAGGCTTGGAACCAGGAATTCAATCCAAGTCTCCTATGTGGGTAGTAGGGCCCAATTTCTTGAGTCATCACCGCTGCTGTCCAGGGTCTGCCTTAGCAGAAAGCTGGAGTTGGGAGACAGAGTTGGGAAGCTAACTGAGGCACTCCAACATTATTGGCATCTTAACTATCAAGAGAGATGTCTGTCTTGGAAACTTAATTCATATTTAACAAACACTCCAGGTGCTTCTGATCTAAACTTCTGGCCACAGTTTTGAGAAACACTGACCTTTAGCCATTGGAGACAAGGGCAAATCATGCCTGCTTGACCAGACACTAAGCTGGAATATTCAGTCTCAAATATCTAAATGGCCTGCATCTATTAAGTCATCATCCCTTGCTATGCTCCAACAAGATGCTATCTGAAAGAGCAAGGAGGGGCCTGTGAAGCTCCAGATTCATACCCAGATTCATACCTGCAACTGCTGGGGCTGGGCCAAGCTGAAGTCAGAAGCCTAGAACTCATTCTGGATCTCCCACAAGAGTGGCAGAGTCCAGAATACATCATCTGTTTCTCCCAGAGTGCACATCCGCAGGAAGCTGGAAGCAGAAGCAGCCCAGGGACTTGAACCCAGGAACTCCAATATGGTTTACAGGCATTCCGAGCAGCATCTTATAATCTGCCCCAGACTTGGGTTTTTGAGAGGAATGGAAATCATCAAGCAGAGAGGTGATCTGACTTGTGCTACAACAGGATCATTCTAGCTGCAAGATTGATAAAAGACTACAAGGAGGTCAGGGTGAACGTAGGGACACCAGTAAAGAGGCTGCTACAGTGACGCAGGTGGGAGATGATGGTGGCTTGGACAAGCCATGGAGGTAGTGAGGACTAAGATTCATAACATTTTCTGAAGCGACAACCTGTAAGATTTGCTGATGGGTTGGATGCCGGGTGTGAAGAAGAGTTTCTGTAGTTTGAATGTGGGCCCCAAAGTTCATGTGTTGGAAACTTAATTCCCAATGCAATTGAGAAGTGGAATTTTTAAGAGTTGATCATGGCCAGCACCGCAGCTCAATAGGCTAATCCTCCACCTGTGGCGCCAGCACACCGGGTTCTAGTCCCAGTCAGGGCGCCGGATTCTGTCCCGGTTGCCCCTCTTCCAGGCCAGCTCTCTGCTGTGGCCAGGGAGTGCAGTGGAGGATGGCCCAAGTGCTTGGGCCCTGCACCCCATGGGAGACCAGGAGAAGCACCTGGCTCCTGGCTTCTGATCAGCACGGTGTGCCGGCCGCAGTGTGCTGGCCAAAGCGGCCATTGGAGGGTGAACCAATGGTAAAGGAAGACCTTTCTCTCTGACTCTCTCTCTCACTGCCCACTCTGCCTGTCAAAAAAAAAAAAAAAAAAGAGTTGATCAGGTGACAGGGAAACACCTGCTTGGATGAATTAAAGCTGTTGTTGTGGAAGCAGGTTCCTGATAAAAGCAAATTCAGCCCTCTCGTCTGCTTGCTCCCTTGTACGCTCTCACCCTTCTGTCTTCTTTTTTTTTATTTTTATTTTTTTCATTTTTTGACAGGCAGAGTTAGACAGTGAGAGGGTTATAGACAGTGAGAGAGAGTCAAAGAGAAAGGTCTTCCTTCCATTGTTTCACTCCCCTAATGGCTGCCAAGGCTGGCGCTGCGCGCCGATCTGAAGCCAGGAGCCAGGTGCTTCTCCTGGTCTCCCATGGGGTGCAGGGCTCAAGCACTTGGGCCATCCTCCACTGCCCTCCCAGGCCACAGCAGAGAGCTGAACTGGAAGAGGAGCAACAGGGACAGAATCCAGCACCCCAACCGGGATTAGAACCCGAGGTGCTGGCACCGCAGGCGGAGGATTAGCCAAGTGAGCCACGGCACCGGCCTCACCCTTCTGTCTTCTGTCATGGGATGACATGGTACAAAGGCCCTTGCCAGATGCCTGTGCCATGAGCTTTAGTTTCCCCGTCTCCAGAACCATAAGCCAAACAAACTTACCCAGTGATAACTTACCCAGTGATATTCTATTACAGCAGCTGATAAATGGACTAAGATCAGAATCAAGAAAGCCTTCAATAGGGGCTGGCAAAGTAGCATAATGGGTCAAGCTGCCACCTTCAATGCCAGCATCCTAAATGGGCACGGGTTCGAGAACCAGATGCTCCATTGCTGATCCAGCTCCCTGCTAATGTGCCTGGGAAAGCAGCAGAAGATGGCCCAAGTCCTTAGGCTCCTGAACCTGTGGGGGAGACCCAGAGGAAGCTCCTGGCTCCTGGCTTGGGCCTGGCCCAGCCTCTCATATTGCAGCCATCTGGGGAGTGAACCAGCAGATGAAAGATCTCTCCCTCTCTCTCTTTGTAACTCTGCCTTTCAAATAAATAAATATTTTTAAAAGTTCAGGCAAATAGAATTAAAGGATAAGTTTATAAAAAAAAAACCAGAATGACTTCAACTAAGGGACACAGGGTTTCTTTCTGGGTAGCAAAATGTTCTAAAGTTGATCTGTGGTAGTGCTTATACAACTCCATGTATGTACTAAAAGCCTCTAAATTGCACACTTTAAATGAGTGAACTGTGTGACACTAGACTGATAGCTGAATTTGGCTTTTAAAAAGAATGACTTTAGGAGCTGGTGCTGTGGCATAGTGGGTAGAGCAGCCACCTGCAGTGCCTGCATCCCATATGGGCGGCGGTTCAAGACCCGATTGCTCCACTTCCAATCCAGCTCTCTGCTATGGCCTGGGAAGGCAGTGGAAGATGGCTCCTGCACCCACGTGGGAGACCTGGAAGAAGCTCCTGGCTCCTGGCTTTGGATTGGCTCACCTCCAGCTGTTGTGACCATGTGGGGAGTGAACAAGCAGATGGAGGATCTCTCTCTCTTTCTCTCTGTCTCTCTCTCTCTTTCTCTCTCTCTGTAAAGCCTCTCTGTGGCTCTGCCCTTCAAATAAATAAATAAATAATATTTAAAATAAAAAAAGAATGACTTCAGGGTTGGGGTCTGAGCAAGAGGAAGAGTAACAGCATCCTTGAACTGGGGTACGGAACACTTGGAGAAGAGCTGGTTTCACAGATCTCAGCTTAGGATATGGTAAGCTGGGAATGCACCAAGTTTGAGATTTCTATTGGGTATCCAAATGGAGATACTCCTTAGGCAGTGGGATCCTAGACGCAAACTCACAAGAGTGGTCGGGGTTGTAGATAAATTTGTTTTCAAATAGACTAGACAAAATCACCTAGAGGGGGTCCAGCACCGTGGCTCACTTGGTTAATCCTCCACCTGCAGTACCAGCATCCCATATAGGCACCGGGTTCTAGTCTTGGTTGCTCCTCTTCCAGTCCAGCTCTCTGCTGTAACCCGGGAAGGCAGTGGAGGATGGCCCAAGTGCTTGGGCACCTGCACCCGCATGGGAGACCAGGAGGAAGCACCTGGCTCCTGGCTTCGGATCAGCGTGAACCAACGGAAGGAAGACCTTTCTCTCTGTCTCTCTCTCTCACTGTCTAACTCTGTCAAATAATAATAATAATTAAAAAAAAATCACCTAGAGGGCCAGAGCTGGTCCGACAAGCCAGGCACACAGACTGCCAGCATGCCTTTGGCTAGAGATTTACTGCATCCTTCCTTGGAGGAGGAAAAGAAGAAACATAAAAAGAAACGGCTAGTTCATATTCTGAATTCTTATTTTATGGATGTAAAATGCCCAGGTTGCTACAAGACCACCACAGGTTTCAGCCATGCTCGGACAGTGGTTCCTTGTGCAGGCTGTACAGCAATCCTGTGTCAGCCTACAGGAGGAAAGGCCTGACTCACAGAAGGCTGTTCCTGGAGAAGAAAGCAGCTCTAGCGACCCACATAACTTCCTGGGTTTGTGTCTTCCCACAGAAAGCCTTATCCTAAGTTCACTGATTCTAGTGAATACACTAAGAAAACATGATTTTGTTTGAT